TATATATATATATACATACACACACACACACACACATATACATACACACATTCAATATGTTTCTTAATAAAAATGTAATAACCAATTCAATCATAAAATAGACTAAATGTTACATTAACTCGTCAAGGTTAAGATGATTTTTACTTAAATTACACATTTGTTTGTACATAAAGGCTCTCAGAATAAACAACAAAACCATTTAACTTGGATGGGGTAGGAATCAAAATAATAAACTTTATATAATTAATGGAATGTCGTGCTCATGTGAAGGAATGATCTTTGAGTTCTTCATATATTTTTGCATAGTATTACTAAGCCTTACTTTGCTATGCTATAGATTGGAATTTGATATTAGTTGTTTTGCAATGTCTATTGATACCGCTTTTGAAAAACTGATGGGTTCAGTACATTAGCAGATTCAATGTAATAACCTACATTTTTTAAAAATTGCACTTGTTCTGAAATTTACTTTTCTAATGAAAACTAAATTACAGAACAAGTTTATTGACAAAGAAAAGACACTCAATTCATGTTGGTTCATTAAGAAATACAATCAGGTTACAAACATGTCACAGATGAATACTGCTTGAAGATTGAGCATTGAAGATAGATAGTTTAGAGACTATAGAGCACATAATCGCTATAGTCTCTATACTAGGATTTATTTAACCGTGCATTTGAATGATGAAGTAAATCAGCCGTTCACAGTTTCATCCAATCGAGAGCTTCAACGTATCTATAGTGACGTCCCTGCAGCGACATATAAGCTCTAAATTGGACGAAACTGCAACAACTGGTATGTGTCATGTGCACAACTCAATAAATCTTACTATAGAGGATGTTGCCTTGTTATGGAAGCCATACATTTTTATTATCTGTACAAGTTTCAGATTTTTTAGTAATACTGAAATTTCATTATTTGTTCAGTGTCTAAAAGCTTTTGCTAGTGTCTGCCGGACAATATAAAAATCCTCATCATTTGGTTTGAGCACACTTGTCTTAGAAGGTTCAGAATGCAAGTATAATACCAAAACTAGTATTACACAGAGAGCCACAAAAAGTTATGTTCCAGTGGTCTACTGTCTTCAGAATGAAGCAACCCAGAAGGCTACAAAAAAAATTGTATTGTTGATTTTTTTCTACGAGGATAAGGGTATCAATAAAAAGAATTGTCGAGAGTTTTTATTTCCTGGGACTACATACTGTTCATGTAAAAATTACTGAATTAAATAGAATTAAAATTTAGAAAAACTTGTACTTACTCTCAGTAGTATGTCAACATATTGACTGTGTTGACTCATCACATTTTTCACTTCCCAATCAACCCTCTTCATATGGTTTAAAGTGTTCACATACCCTACGGCACGTGATGAAACACATGCATACACTGGTTGCCTTAAATCTGCTGCCACGTCCACCAACTACAACGAGGTAAATAGCATTCACAAAAAGGGCAACAATAAAAAGGAAAAGAAAGAAACCAGGAAACTTTTTATGCAACTAAACAGCTATCATAACAAAGTCAACAATTACTGACCACATAATTGTCATTTCACACAGTATCTCAAATTATTATTCATAAAGTCACTTTGTCCTGAAAGATTGTTTTTAACATTCAACTCTATCTTAAAACCTGATGGCTATGTAATTGCGATAAACTATAAGAATACTTGACAGATATATTTAAAAAAAAGTAAAAATATCAATTAGTACTCGGTTCAAAACAATTGCCGACATTTTCATTTTTGATGAACACTTAACATTAATTTACATGAACATTAAAAACAAATATGTAATTGTAGTTAGAATACAAATTAGAGAACACAAATGAAAACTAAATTGTATTAGAAGATTCTTTAGAGAGACGAAATCTCATATTTTGTGTCTTTGATCTTTCCGTCAGTGAATTTTTATATTCAATCTAACAGTCAATAATTAAGATGCAGGAGTTTGTGAACTTATAATTAGAGGCCATTGCTGTCCTATTTTTCTGTCAACCCATCATTTCATCCGATCAAACATGTACATCATTAATTTGATATGTAACAACAACAGTAAACATCCATAAAAGCACAAACTTAAGAATATGTATCACAACAACCAAGTGATGGTCCCTATGAACACAGCATTATGTTAATTAGATGCTTTTCTTTTATTTCAGATAATAAACATGAATAATTTTACTACGTTTAGCATCTGTGAACTGTAAATTGCTAAAGTGGAGAGTCACGTTATATTGCTATCACATGAACTGTCTGCATATAATATATTCTGTAGCACATATCAATAATACCAATATAGTTCAAGCATAAGTGAATTGGGCATATGAGCAAGAAAGTGTTTCACCCAATCCACTAGTCTGATGCAGCAAAGAAGCTTAACATACTGACCAGTCCTGACTGCTATTGTACTTCACATAATATTTTATTAACACAGTTGATCAAAATGACCAAGTTGTGATTCATCTGTTTAAATTGTCAAATATTTGATTTGTACATGGCTGACAAATGAAGATATTGCACCAGCTCATTATGCTAAAATGTCAAAATCCAACTCGCTTTGAACCCTACCTTAATCCGGTGCCTTTACCTAAACAATATTTGGATTCTTGCACCTACTTGAAATATTTATCTCCAACTTCACAACTCACAAATCATAATTCAATGCAATAGTCTGAAATGATTTTTTAAATCTCTTTCCAAATGTATCTAGAAAGGTAATGAAATACTAGTATTTGTCATTAGTTTTTATGGCTAAAATTATTAAATTGGTAGTTTGAAAATAACTGACTCATACGAAATATTTTTTCTGTATTGTTTGAATTACAAAATTTATTTTGATTTATTTAATTTACAGGACACAACATATGAAGTCTGGGCCAAATTTTGGTGAGCTATTCTAATCTGAATATCATCAGAAAGGCTTTGGCCTTTAAATGCGATTTTAACTATTAAATAAATGTAAATTTTAGTAACCAACCTACAACAAGATATAGAACAACCTCCGTCTGCTCATAACACTGTTAAACTAGAAAGAATAAATGTAATTAAAAAGAAAGAAAATGCCTAGAATGAATACCTGAGGATCCTTGCAAATGTTTAGTGACGAGATACTCAAATAGTTGGCTCTCATTTAGTAAATGCTTCAACATGGTATTGAAATAACTGCACAATTGTTGCTCAAGAATGATCCTCCAAACTTCATTTTAGATGACTTCTATAACAGAGGCAACTAACTATATAATGAGCAATCAATTCTTTGAAGTTCAGATCTCGTGCAGGTACTGACAAGATTTCACTGAAATTTGTACAGAAAAAATACGCTTTCAGTACTAACAAATTCTGCAGGATGTTCTGACAAATTCTACATTTAAGTACTACAGCTGAAGAACCTCTTCCCTTCAAAACATGCTTCTTTCATTACACTAAGGTAGCATATGTGTACCCATCACCTGTTCTGCCAATCTTTTCTTTTTTGGTATTCATGCATTATTACTACTGTTTCATTTAAATTAACTATTTGTATGAATAGAATTTGTTTATATAGTCAGTGTTCTACAAGAACATTGTTCTTTTAAATTTTTTAATTCATCTGGAATTTGGCCCAGACTTGGCCGACCAATAGGAAAATACAGAAAAGAGAGTAGGAAAATGTGAATTTACATAACTGGCTATCTACAAGTGATTTAGACAATTCCTACAATCCTTTTAAACAGCTTTTTTTTCTTTCAACCTTTTAAATTACCATTTTTGATCCATCCGAGGAATGTTAAATTTTCAATCAATCTAAATTTCAATTTATTTTTTATAAAATGAAATAGGTAACTAACAAAGCTCACTAGTGTCCTCCTATTAGTTTGAAATCATTTTACAGTCACAAGAGTGCCAAATGGTTTTTATTTATAGCAGCATGTAGCTGGTAAAGCAACACCCAGTTTAACCAAAACACTTTTTGAGATAGGAGAGTCACTAGCAAGAGGGAAGATTAAGCTTGACATAATAAGAAGCACCTATCAGCAACTTTTGATACCGGTAGTCACCACCAACACCTTTTCTTCACTTAGAGAAATACAAATCTGGGGGATTGCAGTGTATTTCTGGTTATGAACAGAGTGTGATGTTCACTTAATATTAAAATGATTGTGAGAATTAAAGTAAATATAATGATAATTGAGGTAATTAAAATTACTTATTTTGATAATCAATCCTTTTAATTGGAAGTTAAATATAC